GAATGTTTTACTTGGGTCAAGACACGACTCACTTTTGCTGGGCGCGGTGGTACACGCCTGTAATCCCAGTGGCTTAGAAGGCAGAGGCAGGAGGATCACGAGCTCAAAGCCGGCCTCAGCAATGGCAAGGTGCTAAGCAACTCAGTGAGCCCCTGTCTCTAAATAAAATAGAAAATAAGGCTGGGGATGTGGCTTAGTGGTTAAGTGCCCCTGAGTTCAATCCCCAGTACTACCCCACCAAAAAAAAAAAAAAAAAGATCTGACTCACTTTGGATTATGAGGAACAGGGTGGAGGGGAATTAAAAAGACCATGTGTCCCCAAATTCTGAGGCCTATGCAATGGAAAACAGAGAGCGTAACCCCAGAACCAGAGCCTTGGAAGACACAGGGAGCATAGCCATTAGTTGATTCAACCCACCACTCTCTTTGAAGAGCCTTAACCACCGGGAAGGACAGCGACTCTCATCATGTGACAAAGCAGTGGCAATATTGAGACCAAGACCAAGGTTTCTCACCTCTCTGACAAGTGTTCTTCCTATTGCTTCCTGCACTTGACATTCTTGATCTCTTCCAGAATGGTGTTCCCTCCACGAGACAGCTGGTTGGAGCAGGCTTCCCACACACTACTTGAAGATTTACTTTCTGTGAAGGTTCATTCAGCCCTATCTTAGGCCTTAGGGATGGTCATCATCAACCACATATTATGAAAACCATTATTCTAATAGCAACAGCTAACATTTAGGGAGCCCTTAGGTGGTATCTCCTCTGACCCTCATGGTAATCTATGATACTGGTACTGCTACTATCCCTGTTTTACAGATGAGGAAACTGAGGCTAAGAAAAGTTAACCAATTCACCAAAGGTTACAAGTCCAGGAAGCGTTACTATAAACCACTTCCTGTGCTCTCTACTACTGTTTCACTGCCATCTCCCAAATATATTCATTGTCAGCCTAAATTTAAAACAGAGAGAGATCCTCCAAAGAATGCTGATATTTATTTGGGAAGAGCAGAGCACTACAATGGGAATATGCATGCTGTAGTAAACTGTAGGTATAGTCAAAGGGGTTGAGGCAAGGAGAAATTTTTAAAGACAAAAATGAAGAAGATTGCATCAGATATTTTGAAACAGTAGTCCTTGTCCACGATGATTAATAGCAAGAATGGCGTCCATCTGAGGTTGAACAGTTTCTGGGCAGATGTCCTTGTAGAAGTACCTTTTTTTTTTTGTACTGGGGATTGAACCCAAGGGCACTCAACCACTGAGCCACATCCCCAGCCCTTTTTTTGTATTTTATTTAGAGACAGGGTCTCACTGAGTTATTTGGGGCCTCTCTAAGTTGCTGAGGCTGGTGGCTTTGAACTCACAATCCTCCTGCCTCAGCCTCCCAAGCTGCTGGGATTACAGGTGTGCAATACTATGCCTGGCATAAAAATACCTTTTTATAAGATCTCAGTGGCCTCTGTGCAAGATTGTGGGTCTAGTAGGATCTTTTGTGATAGTTGTTCTCTGGCAAACATGCAGAGGAACCCAACTCTGCCTTCTTCCATTAGGGTTGACACAAGGGACGGCATTTTGGTTATGATAACTTTCATGCTTCTTTCATATGGTAAAAAACAAAAATGATCTTTTCAGATACTGTTAACTACCATGAAAGAATAAAGTGTGACCTCAAAGGTGGATCTCCCTCCATCTCTACGTCATGGGATCTGGGACGAATCCATGAAAAAGGAATGACATCTCCACAGCATCTAGATGGCCCAGAAATCCACTGTGCCAAGATCTGAGAGTATTAGTATAAAATATGGGAAATGACAAACCCCAAAATAATGCGGCCTGGGAAGAGGGTGTGAGGAAGAAGGTAATACATTGATAACATTGATCCTTTCCCAATACATTCTTTCCCAGTGACAAGACAACCCCTAGAAAAGTAGCAAACATCATCCAGTGGCAAAACAATCCCCAGGAAGGAGATATCCATCGAGCCTAGAATTGCAGTCTCTGGGAAGAAGCCAAAGCATTGATCCTTCTCCAAAAGTTTAAACTCTTTCCCAATGACAACAAGTCCCTGAAGGGAAAGAGATAAGCACTGAATGCTGACCTCAGACCCTCCACTCCTCTCCAGGTAAAAATATCGCCTGGTAAAAACAAATTTCAAATTCTCACAAACCTGTTTCCTAAGTGCCCAAACTGACATGCTCTGTCCATAATTAAGTCACCTCTCAGTGTAACCTATATAAGCACAGTCTCCCCCTTTGACCAGGGGCTCATTTTCCATCAGAAAAGTGGGTCCACCAGAGGCCTAACTCCACCGCTGAATAAAGGCTCTGCTGATCCATGAAGTTTGTACCCAGCTCAGTCATTTTGTGGTAACAATGAGGGTGTTTTAGACAACAAGAACCATTTGGTATGTTTGTTGGTTGGTTGGTTGGTTTTGTTTTTTCCCCAGGGATGACAGGAAGCCACCGGAGTGACCTGTTTTGCTGTGTGGTCAGTGGGTGGGAGGGAATCCCAGGAAAGAAGATTTTAAATCTCCAGGGAATCTGATAATGGTGGGGGAGGAGGGGAAGATGGGGCAGGATTGGGAAGGGAGCAAGGAGATCTCCAGACTGGCTCTCTCCTTTTACTCTCACACCCTTAAGACATCCTCCCTAATAGTATGGATGATCTTTGAAAATGCAGGAGGACCCCTGATCCCAGCCTGGCCCCCCCTGTAGCCCTACCACTCCTGCTTCATGGTGTCAATCAATCTTGGGGGATAAGAAGTAACAGGGTCCAAGGGAGGGAAAGTGTCTAAGGTGGAATTTGTCTTCAACTGTCATCAAAAGGGAGTTTTCCTTCTGCCCCCAGGTCAGTCTGTCCCCCACTGTTCTCCTCCCAAAAAAAGGCAGAGTGGGTAAGCATCCCTTCCTTCCCTAAATCTCCACCCCAGAAGACCTCATGTTTTCTGCTCAGTTGGGAAGTCCTTCCTCTGGTCCTACCATAATCCTTTCTCCTGGTCTCTAGGCTAGATTACTTAGGCGGTGTCAGGAAAGAGGCCAAGTAGGTGAACAAAGGAAAAACAAGTTCTGTGGACCATTTTCTTCCACCCTAGCCCTTTCCCTTCCACAAATCTCCCTGTCTCTCCTTGACCAAGCCCTAACAGGACTCCATGTCTAGGGAAGGAGAGGAGTTGGGTATATGGAGAGCAATCGTGGCTGTTGACAGAAATAACCTTGCTTCCTTGTCTACCTCCTGCTCCCATGACGGAGTAGTCAAGAAAAAATGAGAGCAGTGTTCCTTTCCACAAGCCCCACAGCCTCAGGGCCCATCAGCTCCTGGGCCTGTAGCTACCTGTAAGGCTATTTACCAGTGACCCTGTTGTCCCTGGTGTCACCTCTGAAAAATGTTACTGATAGGGCTGGACACGGAGCTCAGCAGTAGAGCATTTGCTTAGCATGCACCAGGCCCTGGGGTCCATTCCTAGCACTGCATAAAAACAAAACAACAGAAAACAAAACAAAACAAAACCAAAAAAACCTTCATAAAGTGGGGAGAACTACTTAGAACAAGACTGATAAAAAATAGTCACAGTAGGTTATTAATTAGTGGTGGGTGATCATGCTGTGGCTCTATGTATTGAGGTAGATCCCTAACAGGCTCAGGGTAGCAAAGCTGAGGGTGGGTGTTCCTCCTGACTCCAGAATGGCTGCTCGGGGGCCAAACTCTCCCAGAACTGCAGAGGTCAGGGGGGCGGGGAGGTTGACATTTCTAGTGAATTCAGTATTTTCAGCAAACCATCCCAGAGCTCCTCTCTGCAGGCTCAGCCCAGCGCCTGCACACAAGTAACTTCCTTATCACAGCATACAGCTGTCTGCACCTCCTGCCCTGCCCTTCTTTGCCCTCCCCTTCCCTGGGAATTTGCTGCCCCCTAGGCCTCAGGCATCGCCATCTTCCCCAAGCCCTGTGAACTCTCCAATCTCTGAATTTTGTTGTCTGGTAAAATATCCCTGCTTTTCCTTGGGGAGTCCCCTCTGTACCTTCCCACTGTGGAACTAGAGGGCAGGCTAAGCCCAAGAGGGAACTTGTGGCTCCAGGGTCTCCCCATTTCCCATTTTTTTTTAAATTTTAAATATTTTTATTTGTAGGTGAAAACAATAACTTTATTTATTTTTTAATGCGGTGCTGAGGATCGAACCCAGTGCCTCACACGTGCTAGGCAAGCGTTCTACCACTGAGCCACAACCCCATCTCCTATTTTATTTTTTTTAATCTTTGAGACAGGGTCTCATTAAATTGCTTAGGGTCTTGCTAAGTTGCCAAGGCTAACCTTGAACTTGGCAATCCTCCTGTCTCTGCCTCCAGGTGGCTGGGATTCCAGGCATGTGCCACCATGCCTGGTGGGTTTCTCCTTTTGTTGGGTACTTCCAGTCCCCCACCACAGAACCTCCTTCCAAATCTCCATGACCTCTCTCAGGGCTGTCGGTCCTGCATTGCTCGGCTGGACACATCCTCCCCCTTGGTCAGCCATAGCGCCTACCTGGTCTCCCCAGCCCAGACCTCTCCCGTAGGTGGGGTCCCTTCCCAGAGTCTATGTGGCCTTCAGGGACCTTGGAAGGGTAGCACTCAGCTCTTGGCAGAGCACAGGAAGCCAGACCAAAGTTTTTTTACCCAGCAGATGAGTCTCCCACAGCCCCAGTGTGCATATTCAGAATCATAAGTCTCCAAGCTCAAGTCCATAGACAAGTCTCATAACCCACCCTGAAGACCTTGGGGGGATGGCTAGGGTGCTTAGCAGGTTCTCCATGAATGGCCATCATTGCTATTCTGACTGGCCAGGCAAACTTGCCAGGGGCAATCCAGCCCTTAGAAGGATATGGGGGTCCAGAGCTGGAACCCCTGCTCTCTACAAACAGATCCAGGGAGGAATCCCATACACATCTGGGCCCCCAGCTCAGGTACCCCTTTTTCCTAGCCCACCCAAGCCCTCCTTATTACCTCTTCTGTTCATAAGCAAACTCTACATATACTCAGAAACATTTGATATTTATTTCTCAATATTTTGTTATTATTATTTTTTTTTTACAAATTGAATAAACACAATAAAGGGGAATATGTGGGGCCCCAAGCCTGGCCTTGGGTTCCCGTTGAGATGAGAGGTGACAGTATGGAAACACCTCCTCATCCATAACTTCTGGCCTGCTGCCCTGATCCCTCCTATCAACCTTACCCATGAGAAAGGTGGGCGCTTTCTGAGGTTCTGAGGTTCTCCCTAGAGGGGACTTTGGGCATCCTGCTTTAGGCCCTGCACTGATTCAAGCTGGGAAGAACTGTGGGTCCTGATGTGATGCCGTCTGCATCTCTCCTGCCTGCAGGCCAGCTCCCGCAGTTGTTTCCGAATGGCCCAGAGCACCAGGTACACTTCCCGCAGCATCTCAGCCTCTGGGGTCTCCAGGGGGGACTGTCTCCTTAGCTGGGAGGTCACTGAGGTCGAACTCACAGATGACTGTAAAAGAAAGAAGAAGCCCACGAGTCTTGGGAGAAAGCGCCCTGGGTTCAATCCCTGGTGTGCAGACACACAGCAAAGGTCTCCTATTTGGCTGGCTCAGACGGTGCCCCTTCCAGGAAGCCTTCTTAGCTTGCATTAGGTTTTCATTCCCTCTAACCTTTAGTGTGCCCTGTGGACTCTTCTGTTTTCTCCACTAGAATGCAACTCCCAGAAAAACAGCTACCAGTTCAGACCTACCTTTGAGTCCCCCGTTAAGGGTTTCATGGAGAGGGTGTAAAAATGAAGGACGGAATGAATGATGCCTTGACTCTCTCTCCAACCCAGAGCTCACTCCAGAACTCTGTGCCTCTATGCCCCACTGCCACCAGGACACCTCCTTGCAGATGTCTCACCAACACCTTCAGCACCTTTAATCACCTCCCTCTGTCTCTCCCTCTCCCTGTGACCTCCACCCAACCAACCTGGCCCAACAACCCTACCACCTAAATATCGCTCAGATCTATTAACCTGTTGACCCAATGCCCCTCCCGGAGTCCAGAACATCCTTCTCTCTGGACTGGATGGTGCCAGCCTCCAGGGCATCTGGTCCTCTCTGACTACCCTCCCCTTCAGCCAGGTGAACTTTTAGAATGATTATTAACGCCGTCATACTTGATTCAAGGCCAAAATTAGTGGATTTGGTTATGACCTTGACGTTTTTCCTTTTTTAAAAATTAAACTTTTTAGATGGGTGGAGTTGCGCATGCCTGTAAACCCAGTGACTCCAGAGGCTGAGGTGGGAGGATTGCAAGTCCAAAGGGCCAGTCTCAGCAACTGAGCCAGGCCCTAAGCAACTTAGCAAGACCTTGTCTCAGAATATAATATAAAAAAGGGCTGGGGATGTGGCTCAGTGGTTAAGCACCCTGAGTTCAATCCCTGGTACCAAAAATAAGCAAATAAATAAATATTATATTAAATTAAAATTAAACTTTGTATTTAGAGGCAATTATAGATTGACATGAATTTTAAGAAATAAATATAATCCTGTGTATCCTTTACCCAGTTTCTCTACAATATCAAAGTCAGAAAATTAACATTGCAATATCAAAGTCAGGAAATTGACATTGATACAAGCCACTCACTTTATTTAGCTTTATTAGTATTCATGTGTGTGCATGTGAGTGCATATGTTTGTACATGTTTAATTCTACAAAATTTTGTTACAGGTATAGGTGTGTGTATCCAAACAACCACAATCAAGATCCTGATCAGCTATCATCACAAGGATTCTCCTGTTGCCCTTTTATAAGCACCCCACAATAACCCCTAACAAACATTAAACCACTATATGATTTTTCATTTCTACAATTTTGTTACTTCAAAAATGGTATTACAGGCATGGTGGCACACAACTGTAATCCCAGCAACTTGGGAGGCTAAGGCAGGAGGATAGCAAGTTCGAGGCCAGCCTCTGCCACTTAGTAAGACCCTCAGCAACTTAGCGACACCCTGTCTCAAAATAAAAAATAAATGGAAAAAAAAAAGAACTGTGGGTGTAGTTCAGCAGTAAAGTGCCCCTAGGCTCAATCCCTAGTACCAAAATATTAATAATAAAAAATAAAAATAATGGTTTATCATACAATGGAATCATACAGTAAAGAACCTTTTGGGGTTGATTGTTTTCATTCAGAGCATTTCCTTTGAGATTCATCCAATTCATCATTCATCATGAATTGATGTCGTATACATCAACAGTTTGTCCTTTGTACGGTTGAGTAGTATTTCAGGATGCTATAGATTGGACTTGTTTTGAGCATGTACCCCCAAGGGTTCATATGCTGGAAGCTTGAATCCCAGTTAGGGTGATGTTGGGAGCTCATGGGACCTTTAGGAGATAAGACCTAAAGGAAGATGATTTAAGGCATTGGGAATATGCCCCCAGACAGGATTAAGGCAGTTCTTAAAAGTGATCCTGATCCCTGAGTCCTTCTGGCTTCCTATCTTGGCAATGTGTTTTCTTCCACACACACTTCTGCCATTGTGATGCCATCTGCCTTGAAACCCTCACTAGAAGCTGAACACACAGTACCACCTGATCTGGACTTTTAGCCTCCAAAGCTGTAGCTAAACAAACTTGTTTTCTTTATAAAGTATTCCAACTCAGGTATTTTATTATAGCAACAGAAAACAGAGTAATATACAGGTATGTATATATCACAGTTCAACCATTCATCCATTGAAGGACATTTGGGTTGATTTGGGCTATTACAGATAAAGCTGTGAACAGTCACATATGGACATTGTGGGAATATGAAATTGCATTTATCTGGGATAAATGCCCAGGAGTTCAATTGCTGGATCATATGATAATTGTGTATTTAGGTTTACAAGAAACGTTAGTATTCTTTTCTAGATTGGCTGCACCATTTTCTAGTCCCAGCAGCCATGTGTGAGTGCAGGGGAGCTTTTTAAATCAAAACCTGATCATGTTGCTCCCCTGTTCAAATGTCTTCAAGGGCTTCCATTGCTCTTAGGGTTAAGTACAAATTCCACAACTTGGTCAACCTCTGCCTTATACAAAGTAGCCCTTCAGCCAAGATTGCTCCACGCACCTCAAGCTACCATGGCACACACCTGCTATCCTCTCTTCACAGAACACCCCTCCCTTCCCTTCCACCTTGTCCTAACAACACATCCCAAGGCAAGTGAACTCTTTCAGGTCTCAGCCTCCCCGTCTCTTCTGCAGGAAGGCCTTCCTTGATTCTCTGGGTCTGGGTACCCACAGTTCCCCCCCACTTCCTATGACATACCCCTCAGGATACAGAACAAATCAATGCTCATGATCTTTTCTATGGTCCCATCCCAGGTCTGGGTAAATCTTATCCACTATCGTATCCTCCATGCCTGGCCACAGAGGAGGCACAAGAAATGTTGAACAAGTGTGTGGAGGAAAGAAAAGGTCCCTGGGGGTTGGGGACGGTGAGGAAATGCTAACCTTCCACCTGCACATCTGCCAACCACTCTGCAGGGCAGATAACATGAGTGTGGAGACCGACTGGACCGCTGTCTGGGGCAGTCGTAGCAGGGAGCGAGGCTCAGGACCCAGCTCCAGCTCAGTCTCGTCCACAGTTTCGTCCATGGTTTTCGCCAGCACGTAGGCCTCAGCCACCTCAGGGTGCTCTTCCAGAGTGGTGACCTTAGCCTCTTTGGGGGGTTCGATCAACTTGACAGTGTCCAACTCCGTAGTCTCCTCCACCCCCTTGATTTCTTGTTTCTTGGAGTCAGTGGGTTCCAAGATGATTAGCTTAGCTCTGCGTCTCCACTGAAGAACCTGAGAAAGAAGACCCATGAGAGGCAGGAGATGGGGGGCCAGCAGGAGCAGCAGTCAAGGGAAGAAAAACACCCAGGGAGGGGTATAACCCCCCAGTCCTGCCTTCTTCCCCTCAAGCCCCTCCCTGGATCTCTAAGCCCTGGCCACCTCCCATAGATTTAGTTTGGCCACAAAAGATGGAGGCCACGTGGTGGGGGGCACTAGCATCTAGAAGTGACCAGGACCCTCAGCCCAGCACCAGGAGGACCAGGCAGGATGTGAAACTCACCCAACAGGTCATTCTTTGCCAAACTCGTCTGATCCAAAAGATGAACCTCATGATCACAGCCATCATTCCAGAACCCCAAGTAGGGACAGGGCCAACATGTGGGACGGGGAGAGGGACAGGCTTTTGGGCATTGGATGACACACCACAAGGGTCTTGTAGGAGCTGAAGAGTCTCAAGCACAGCAGGGAAGGAAGGAATAGGAAATCTAGGGGCAAAGATCTCTTCAGCAATTCATCCCAGGTCCTTCCTCCCCTCCCTGGGACAGGGAGAGGAGTCAAAATGCAGAAGAACCTAGGGTGACAGAGAGTTCTAGTCCATTGTGAGAGCCACCTGGCCCTGGTCCCAACCCCCGAGGCCCTTCCAGGACCCACGGAGCTCATTGCTTATGGCCTCGACTCTTCTTGCCACCAATCCAGGGAAAGGAAAGTGACATTGACTGAGTGTCTGGTATGTGCTAGGCGTTTTCCATGTACTGTGCCATGTGATCCTCAAAACAGCCCTTCAAGATTGATGTGACTGTCAGCACCACTGTATACCCATGAGAAATCCGAGATTCAGAAAATCTGGAGAATTTGTCTGAGACTGTAAATCTAAGGAGCTAGAAGGCAAGGGGCCCAACCCAGGTGGGCCCTGGAGGACCGGCTTCTCCACACCTCTCCCCTCGGGTCAGGGTCTCCTGTGGCTCCTCTCAGGGTTCCCCTCAAGCTGCGACTGCTGCTTCTCCCCGCTCCCCCACTAGATGGGGTCTTTCTGGCTGGCTGCTGCTTTCTGCCCGGGACCCAAGCCCAGGCTGCCAGGGAGGGGCCTGCTCACCCACAGGGCCTGTCCTCAGCCAGCTGGGGGTGGAAGCCACGGCGGCCAGCCAGGCCTGGTGAGGGCACTGTGTGCCCGGGGAGCCTGGCCCACACCCAGCCTTGAGACAAGGGGCCCATTCAGGGCCCCCCGCTCCACCCCCAATCAGCCACCCGGATCCAGCCCGCAGAGGGGACACGCTGGGAAGCTGGGGGTGGATCCTGAACAAACACCAAAGGCCTCATTGTTTCTCTCCCCCCACAGCACGTGGGCAGACGCCGCCCCCCACCCCACTCCTCTGCCCGGCCTGCCTGCCCCCTTCCCAGGACCCGAACCACTGACTCCCATTTCCTGCACCTCTGTCTACCATTCTGCCTCAGCCACGTGACACCTCCCCAGCCTTGACAGGATCTCCAGGGGAGCTCAGGCCGTGGGAGCAGGCCTCCACACAGGTCTGGACACAAGCAATGCCATGCCAACCTCCAAATTCAAGTTTCTTCAGATTTTTTAATTATAATTATTATTTCAATAACAACCTGAAACCCAGAACTTCCAGACACTGTCCATATGCCCTCCCCTGGGCAGTGGAGAGGGAGCACTTTGAGGGGAACAAAGTGTGGGGGGGATTGTTGCCAGGGAGCCTCCGACTCCCCCAAGCCATCTACTGCTGGGGAACCCAGAACACTGACACCCAGGGAGGGAAGGGGCTGGGATCTCTCATGGAGAGGGCTCCATCTAGCACCCCATCCCGAGCCCTCCCCCCTCCATCGAGGCCAGAGGACCAAGGCGGGGACGGGGGCAGGGGGGGAACAGGCCAGTACTGAGCCTTAAAATCCCATCCCTGGGGGTCAGGGGGCATTAAAGCTGCATAGGAAGAGGGGGCAGGCTGCTGGCGCAAAGCCTGGCAACCATGGCAGCCCCCAAAGGCACATTGTGAGGGAAGGGAGGCTCAGACGGAGGGCCCGTTGGGCGCAGGGGGCCCAAGCCGTGGGAGCCCCGAGGAGGGCAGCTGTGCCAGCTGCTCTGGGCTGGCCAGGGCACGCAGCAGTCCGTTCTCCTGCTCCAGCGCGGCATTCCGCTCTGCCAGGTCTCGGATCTGCTCCTTCAGCACCTCCACCTCCTCCCGGACCGCAAACATGAGGTGGGACTTTACCAAGTCCTGGGGGTCCAGGGACAGGCAAAGAGTCAGGGCCGCCAGACCACCCCATCGGAATCCCGCGCCCAGTGCCTGAGGGTGTGTGGCTGAGACACTCCCCTGTGCCAAAGGAGGAGGGGCTCCAGAGAAGGAAGGGCATGAGGCAGAGGGTAGGGGGCAAGGCTACCGGCAGGGGCAAGGGCAGGGGGGCAGGGCTCACAGACAAGGATGGGGCCGGGGGCTGGTGTTGGTTACAGGGAGAGTAGGGGTGGGCGAAGGAACTGCTAAAGGGAGCCAGGGCCTCCTGGCACCAAGATGTCTCCTCTTACCATGGCTTGTTCGATCTTGTTGTCAATGCCAACCAGGCTTCCGGAGCCGCTGGAGAGACACAGGGAGGTGAGAGGTGAGGCGGGGGCCAGGCATCTGCACAGCCTAGCCACTGCCTTCCTCGTGACAGGCTCTGGCCTCCTCCCCAGCCCCCTGGTGACAGCCCATAGCCCTCCTGTACCTGTGACAGTAGAGAATCAGGGGGAGCAGGGTTTTGTCCATTCCCCGGCGGGGTGAGGGCCGCTGCCCAGGGCCCCCCAGGCCCCGGTGGGGTGGGGGTGCAGGTGCCCCTCGGATTGGGGATGCTCCCCGTGGGGAACTAGGGGAGGAGACACAGCCCCTTTTTCGGGGTGGCCCCGGAGCCATCCCCACTACTCTGGTCTCGAAAGAGGACACCAGGGATTTGACAGAGACCCCTGGCTGGGCCATCCCTGAGGGGAGAGAATCCTCAGGGTCCCCCAAAAGGAGAAGGTTGTATTGAAGGAATGCTCGGGGGGCTCAGAGCCCCCCGGCAGAGCGGGGTCTGGCTGGTGCCAGGCAGGCAGAGAGGAGACGGGGCCTAGGGGGTGCTGTCCTGAAAGATATACTACACCGCCCCCTAGGGCAAGGACCAGCTGCTATTGGCTCCTCAGGGACACGGGGACCCCCCTCCCACAGCTCCACGGTGGGCGGGAATTCCCAGACACGATCAGTGCCAGTGTCCCCTTCTCACCCTGGCGCCCATCCCAGAGCCGAGGGGAGGGGGCAGTGGAGGGAAGTCAGCTGGTGGCCTGGATCGGGGGAGGGGCTGAGGGGCAAGATGCCTGGGTTGAGGAGGGGTGGGAAGGTGAGATGGCCCTAGGAATCATCTCCCCACCTGAGGCCTTCCTGCCCACTCTGGGCTATGACCGGCCTCCCTCGAGGCCTTAATTAAAGGAGAGAAGGGTGGCGGGAGACTCTGATATACTTGTGTGCTCCCCCACAAACATAGAGCCGGCATCACAGGTGACCCTGAGAACCTGGGCCAGAGGGTCTCCAGCACCATAGTGAAGAAGAGGAATGGGAATGGTTACTATGACAATGGAAACCTAGATCTGACCGCTGTAAATCAAATACAGCCTAAGGATCTGGACCTGGGTCTGGGGTCTTCTTGGAAGGAGGCAGGGCTTGAGGAGAGGTAGGAAGGTAAGGTTTGCGTTGGGACTTTTGAGCAGAGCCTTTGAACAGAGCTAGGAAGAACAGGACAGGGAGCCAGGGGCAGTCCTGGCTGCAGTTTTCTAAAGGGCCACCAGAGGGAGACTCAAGCCTGGCCCAAAGGTCCCTTGGGACTGGCTCCTGACTGGCCCTGGGGCAATGGCTCTTAATCCCAGAATCTATAGATCTCCTTCAAACCCTCTGGTGGTCCAGGGCTTGCATAGGACTTTGATCTCTGCCCCATCCTCCAGGGCTCCCTCTTCCACCACCCAGGCCCCAGGCCCCTGCCTCAGCCTATAGTTCACAACCCACACTAACCAGCTTCCACCTTGGCCCCTGTCCCCTTTTGGAGAATCACCAGTCCTGTCCCCCCAACCCCCCCACTGAGCCTCTCAGAGTCAGGGCCCCACTACATTGTATCCCATGTGCTGCTGCTCCCCATAGGCCCTCCCTCCTGGCTGTCAGCTCCAACTTGCTTCCCTGTGGGGGGATCAGCACTCAATCCAAGGTGACCCTGGCCTGAGAACCTGCTGCCAGGAAGGGAGCTTGAGAGAGCTGGGAATTTTCCATTTCCTTTCCAAGCTCTGGGTGCAGAAGGCGCTGACAGGTAGAGCAACCAAGAGGGTGACCAGGCCCAGGAAAGCAGAACAAGTAGTGAGCAAGGACACCTGGGCCTCCAGGGGACAGTAGGGACAGTAGGGAAGGGCGGGCCAATCGGTATAAAAGCAGTTTTCCATCCATCACACCTGGGTGGAGCCTGGGCCACCACAGAAAACCCAATACCCTCCCCTCCCCAGCACATACAGACAGACACCAGAGAGGGACAGATACACAGAAATAGGAGCACCAGCCGGGCCTGGCAGATACTCAGGCAAAGATGCCAAGGAAGTCAATCATTCTCACCAGAAATCAAGGCCTAATACAACAATAAACATTTGTTGGCTGATAGATGACTATCTCCTGTTTGTCTAGCGCTGCTGAGTTTTTGACAGGACTTCCCCTGTGACATTCTAACATTAACACTTCAAGGGACCAGAACTCTGATAACCCAAGCCCATCCTCTGAGAACCCTTGAGTGAGGGGACCCTATGCTAGCTAGTATTCCTAGGCCAGGTCAGGAGCAGGAAGTTGGGGCTGGCCACATAGGATTGGCCCTCACCACAGGCCCCAAAGCAACTTGGTGTGAATCAAAACAAAAAAAAAAAACCCTTCCTCAAGACACTTATTGCATCTTTCACTACATTCTCACGACTTCAAATGTGGACTGTGACTTCTAATTTTGAGGCACCCTGTGGAGTTGTGTCGTGCATGACATGCATAACTGGGGACTCCAGCCCCACAGGACTCTTGGGTCCTGAGGTGAGGACAGTCCTAGAAGCTGGTCTTCCCCTTTGAAGGTCAAATAAAACAGTTTCAACATGAGAATCAGATGAAGATCTGGGAGAGGTGAAGAGGTTCGGATTCCAGGAACAGGGACGAGCCCTGCTCCCTGATGTCTTCTAGGAGCCCCCAGGGTCTGGGCCTAAAGCCAAGAAAGTGGCATCCGGCTACCCTGTCTACACTCCCTCCCGGATCTGTGATGTCTTTGGGGGTGGAGCCAGCCCAGGGAGGGGGAGGGGGCTGGCTTCTTGACCCACTTGGGTGAGCTGTCCCTGCCTCTGTCCTAGAGAGAGGACATCCTAGAGACAGTTGCCACCTCCTGTAGCAGAGAGGGGAGAACATGGCTGAAGGTAGTCAGACCCCCACTGCAGTCCAGCCACACACTGGCTCGGTGACCTTGGGCAAGTATCTAAAACTCTCCTGTGTCTCAGTGTCCATCTGGAAGCTGAGAGGTGGAGATCATGGGATTGCTTTTAGGGTTACAAAAGATAAGAGACAGTACCAGACCCAAAGGACAGCACTAGGCAGAGAAATGTACTTTTTATCCCCAAGTCCCTGGGATACAATCCCTCAATGCCTGGATCCTCCAGATTGGCCATCTACTGTCACACCTTAACCAAGTAGCTCCCATCTGCTAGGCCCTGTGGGGGACACAGAGGATCTTCAACCCAGGAGCCTGTGGACAGTCTGAATCCATCAGGCACCCTCTGTTCTCCCACCCCAGATTTTGAGGACTAGAAAGACAGTGTCCAGGATCCAGACACCTAACACCCCAGCCCACTTTCCCTTTCAAAAGAGAGGTCCCAAGCCACTTGATCCCTGGTTTCCTGGCATTTCCAAGAACACCAGACAAGTGACATGGGGTCTACACACCCCATTCCTAGGGGGCAGGGGATAGCCCAACCCAAACCCGCTGGTCCAGCAGGGTGGGGTCCAAGGGGCTGGGCTGGGCCAGAGCCCCAGAGCCTTGGAGCCAGGCAGAGTAGAGTGGAGGCTGGGAGCTGGACCGGTCAGACTAGGGTGTGCAGAGGGGGTGGGACAGAGGGAGAGAGGGAGGGTACAAGTCAAAAGAATAGAGCTGAGAAGGCCTCTGAAGGCAGAACCCTCTAAGGCAGAGAAAGCCAGAGGCTGAGCTATGAAATCAACAGGGGTGGAGGAGGGACAGGGAGCTCTTTTGCCAGGGAACCTCCCAAATGGGAGGGGGAGAGGGTGGGAAGCGCTGAGAATAGCAGCAATGGGGGCAGGTGACTCTCTGGGCCCTGGCCGACCTCAC